GGGAAAACTGAGATTGATCTGAGCCATCACAGATAAACAGATGGAGCCTAAAGCTGTTGGACATTTCGGGTCTTTTACTCTGAGAAAATCTAAAAAAAAACATTAGTCCCCTGAGAAATGCTTTAATTTTGAGTGTGTTGCATGTGGGAGAAGCTGGTGGAGCTTTTCCAAAGCCCCAAAAAGGCCCGAAATGAACAGATATTTAGTCATTTGTTTTATTTACATTTGGCTGTAATAAAATCTACAAAACTATGTTTGATAATGAGAAAGACTGAGCTGAAATTAGTGGAATTTTTAGCCGTTTTTCATTCAAGCTGTTCTTTACACCTGTTTCCTGCTCTCATTCTTAAAAAAAAAAGAATAAATGTCTACATTTTGTGTCAGATTTTGTTGTGTGGTCTCCCTGAGAGTCTAAATAAAGGCAGCTGGACATCTCGGATCTAGAAAATATTTCACCTCTCGCTGAAAAACATTAGTAAAAAAAGTCTGTGTGCTTTAATTCAACCTCTTTGGATCTTGTGTGCTGAGGTTGGAGTTTGAAAAAGCCAAAGTTTTTCCATCTGAAGGCAGTTTAAGTGGCGTCTTCTGTAAACGTGGAAATCCAGGGTCAATTTTCATGCGCGTGAATAATGAAAGTGGCCGAATGTTCCAGCTCTGAAAGATCAAATCAGACACATTTCCACGACCGGAGTCTAATCTGCCGCATGAAAATGGAAATGGCTGCTGACCTCCGGGTGGGAAAAGAAAAAAAAAAGGTCACATCTGAGAGCTTCACAAATGAAACCGAATGCTTTTCCATAAAGACGTTAGAAGGAGCTCAGACAGATGTTGAGGAGGGCCAGATGTTGCAGTTTTAGGTTTTTTATTTGAAAATAATTAAACTCCGTCCTCTGTCATCCCCACCGGGATAAAACCAGCTCCTGCTTTCATTTGTCCTGATTCTGTCTCGGTTTTAATGGATGACTCTCCCTGGTTCCAGGACCTCATGTCCTGTGTCCAATTTGAGAAAATCAAACTCTAAATTTCAGTTCTGGACTGGTTCGATCGTCTCATTATTGAGCTTTTGTTCACTTTTCTTTTCGGTGTGTGAAAGTTTTTTATTCTTTCAATATGAATTTAAAGGAAGTGAAACAGCCATCCAGACCTGGTCAGACCTTAAAGGACCTGGTCAGACTTTAAAGGACCTGGACAGACCTGCTCAGACCTTAAAGGACCTGGACACACCCGGTCAGACCTGGTCAGACCTGGAAGGAACCGGTCAGATCTGGAAGGACCTGAACAGACTCAGACACACCTGCTCAGACCTGTACAAACCTGGTCAGACCTGCTCAGACCTGTACAAACCTGGTCAGACCTGGTCACATCTGGACGGATCCGAACAGACCTGGACAGACCTTAAAGGACCTGGAAACACCTGGACAGACCTGGTCGGTCCTGGTCAGAACCGGTCAGACCTGGACACACCTGGACAGACCCGGTCAGGCCTTAAAGGACCTGGTTAGACCCGGTCAGACCTGGTCAGATCTGAACAGACGTGAACAGACCTGAACAGACCTGGACAGACCTTAAAGGACCTGGTCAGACCTGGTCATACCTGGACAGACCTGTACAGACCTGGTTTGACCTCAAAGGACCTGGACACACCTGGACACACCTGGTTGGACCTGGAAAGACCTGGACAGACCTGCTCAGACCCGGTCAGGCCTTAAAGGACCTGGTTAGACCTGGTCAGACCTGGTCAGATCTGAACAGACGTGAACAGACCTGCATGGACTTGGTCAGACCCGCTCATACCTTAAAGGACCTGGTCAGACCTGGACACACCTGAACACAGGTCTGGCTCCTGAAGCCTCCCCGGCCCCTTAGGAGCCGACCCCCCACCTGGCCGTGAGGTGGTGGGCTCCTGCTGCTTCCCCGTCTGGGGGCCGCTGACCTTTACGCTCTCCGCCCGCCGCTCTGCAGAAAAAGCTGCGATTGCCTCGGCGAGAACTGAAA